TAGCTATTTTTACCGAGAGTTATTTTAATTTTATTATCTTGATACACTTTAATAAAATGTTTGGGTTTTTCCTGGGTTCCCCCGAGATAACTGTTCTTTTACGGTTTTTGGCTGCCTTTCTTTTTGTTTTTTTTCGTTTTTGCTTTTTAGTTGCTGCTGTTAGTGGTGGGGATGTTTTATGTTTTTGTTTTTGTTTTTGTTTTGTTTTGTTTTGTTTTTTGCTTTATGTTGTTTGTTGTTGGGTTTGTTTTGGTTGTTGTTGTTTTGTTGTTTGGTTGTTGTTGTTGTTGTTTTTGTTTTTTTGGGGGGTAGTAGGTTTTGCATTAAAATTGGTATTTGGTATTTTTAATTCCATGTACATTTTCATTTATTTGCTGACTTATCTTTTCGTCGGTTAGCAGCTCGTGCTCAATTAATTTCTTAGCGTATGTATTTCGTTTTATTCATTCTTTAATGTATTTCTTTCATTCTCTCTTTTGGTCTTTACTTGACAATAGGTGGGTTTTTTTACTGTCATGTGTTTTAGTTAAAATGCAAAAGGTTTATGAGAAATGTGTGTGTTTATCATAATGTGTGCGTGTGTGTATATGTTTACGTGTATGTGTATATGGGTGTGTGTGTGTGTGTGTGTGTGTGTGTGTGTGTGTGTGTGTGTGTGTGTGTGTGTGTGTGTGTGTGTGTGTGTGTACGTGCATTTACAATATTATTTCAGCAATATGTTCAATGTCATTACATAAGGAAAAAAAACACAAGGAAAAAATAGCCAGGAAGAATGAGATTCCATGTCCAACTGTTCAACGGTCAAGGATGAGCCTTGTAAGCCATTTTGGACTCCAGCGAGGAGCAAGAAGTTTTGACATAGGCCTACACATATTTGATACAGAGAGGTCACGGAGGGTAAACAGCATACATGTACTAAATATGTACATTACTACATGCAACATTCATTCAGTACTGGGGAAGAGTATGATAGACAGACAGAAACAAAAGAAGGATGGAGTTTTAGAATTATCAGGTTTGCTGGGGCAACAATATAATGAGTAAAGCGCGTAGAGCTTGCCTTTGACCGGAAATATGAGTTGTGCAAATGCTATATTATAATACTTATTATAAATATAAATAGGATCTATCAGTGGAACCCTCCAAACGCCATAACTGCTAGTTTTGGGAAAATTATAATAGGACTTCTCAAACAACAGTTGTTGGGGTTTTTTAATGAGAGTGAGGTCAATGTTTTTTTCGAGTGTCGTGCCTGAATGTTGGAGAACTTTAGACTAATGCGTTATCGGAAACTCCATTTCTTAAAAAGTGAGACATGTTCGCGAAAAAAAAAAGTTCCACAGTCCACAGCATGCTGCGCTACACAAAAACACGCTCCATTTCGATGTTACGTAGAGGCCTATATAAATAGACGCTCGGTCGTTGGTTTAGTCGCGATAAGCAACAGAGGAGCCAACCACAGCTTGATTCACAGAGCAGAGGAAGATTTTCATCAGTGGCTTCATCTCTCCAACTGTTGCAGACTATAATATTGTCATCAAAATGGCTTCCCTCAAAGTCTTTGCTGCGTGTCTCCTTATGGTTATTGGACTTGCTACACTTGGTAAGTTGGCACCATAAAAAAACGTATA